GTAAGATATGAAAGAGTCGACTCTATATAGTAAGAGGCCAAATATCTGTTAGCAAAATTTCCTTTTTTTTTCACACAGTACATTATTTTTACAACCTCGTAATAAGAAAAAGTAGCTCCACTGAGGTGTATAGAGCTATCAGGGGAAGAATACAATAATGTATGTTTGTTCAGGTGGCATGCCCATACCACCTGCTATTTTCAGCTAAGCATTGGTATCTTTTGAGAGTCACGAAAACTTTTGAATGATGTAGAACTATTTCCTATCTTATCCTAAACTTGTGGGATTCATTTTCCACCTGTACTTTCAACATCCTTCTCTCCACCATATCCAGTGCCAAATTATTTTATTGTTCAGTAGGCTGTTTTGGTTATTGACCTCCCTGATCCAGTTATTTGTGTTCTTCCATCTATAATAAGATAATGGTCATTAGCTTTCTCTGTTGGTGATGCCCAGGTCATGCTGGCATTGATACTGCCATAATTCTCATTTTTGTTATCGGAACTCTTTAAAAAATGAACATAGTATTCGCAGTGTTAAAAATTAAATTAATATCATCTTAATAAAATCTTGATATCAAGATGGTACCAAGAAAGTAGTCAATCTATGGGCAAGGAGCTGTTAACACTCATGATTACAATACATCTAAGTTGCTCAGTACCTGCAATGATGCAACAGGAATCATTCATTATCATGAACACCAAATCACAGTTGCCAATGTCAGGAGTCAGGGGAAAACAGCGACAACAGCTGTGGAGGGCAGACAATCCATGCTATACCCATCTGCTACAAAAACAGTGTTGCTTTCAGCCCCTATTTTTTGAACCATGGTGTAGGTTCTGTGCCCATACCCAACCTTGCCAAAAATCTGGACTTTTTGTCTCCCCAGAAAGTTACTCCTGACATGAGTTTTTTGTGCTATGACTGGGGCATCTAAGGCAAGCCAGGATTGTTGTCACCCCAGCTCTTCCATTTGAGCTTCCATTTATGAGCATTTTTGCCTTCAATTCATCTGCTCAATATTTTGGTTAAGAAATTGAGGTTTACTTTTTGTAGCCTCATAAATCTTTTTGGACTCATTCAAATATTAAGTGCTTTTTTGGGGGGGGTCTTGGTTTTCTTTTCTTTTTTTTTCTGTCAAAATTTTAATCTTCCACACTGCAGGGAAACCTGGAATGTTGTGTACTTGTTCTAATTCAGTTTTCCCTCTGACTTCGGTGCTTACCATATGGATTGTTATTTATTTATTTTTGTCATCCCATAAGGATTCAGGTCCAGATGGTAAACTATCATAGGTATTGGTAGTCCTGCTAATTGTGGAAGGTAAAATGTCCTCTTTCTCTGTGGACCAGAACAAACAAACTGACTCACAAATTCCCCTCGAAACACACAGAAGATTCTGTAAGTTGTCCCGGCTTCTGGTATCTGTCTGGGAGATATCTGTCCATATGTTCCACTCCTTCCTGGCTAATTTAAAGGCAGCAGAACATGGCTATTCCTAGAGACAAATATCTAAGTAAAGAAGTCAAGAGGACTCAGGGTCCACAGGTTTCTGTGAATCCCACATTTCCCAAACTTAGTTTCTTTGTTGCCTTTTCCAGAGGTTCCACTGGTTTTCTCAGACACTCACCTAGCCTGGAGGAGAGAATTGCCAGTTCTTTTTCCCCTGCACAATTTACCTTAAGCCCCAGCCTTTCTGGCCATCTGTCTTCTAGACTCCAACAAATATTTGTTTCAAGAGAAAATTGCCAGTGGAGGGGAAGGAAGCTGCATTCAGTTTTCTATATTCGCAGAGTGCTTTTAAAAATCTTTTACAAAATACTTAGTATTTCAACAATCTCAAAAAGGACAAGCAAAACATAAGATTTACAGGTAGGCATACCGCTGCTTTTCTAGATTAAAGAAAATACTTTTTAAAGTTGATATTGATTTATTTTTAATATATTTATATCTTTTTTATGAAAATGTATGCCATGTGATGACTATCTCAGAGTACAAATTCAAATTTCAACAAAATAGCAGACAAAATATGGCAGCTCAACAGTTAAGACAGCAGTAAACAAAACCGTATATATTTTAAAAGTCAGTCTTAAGCACTTAAATTTGGACTTGATCATGATTTATTGTGCTGCATAAGTTTGGAAGAATTGATGAATGCTGCTAAATTATTAATTTGCCCAAAGTGAGAGAGGCCACCACCTCAAGCCACATGTCATAAATATTAAAGCCATCCCATCTTAAGGACTTATGTGGGCCATGAATTATAAGGACCACTGTAAATCGATTCTGGATTACTCATAACTCTTTGTGCCTGTGATTCACAATCACTTTATCCCCCACTGACCATTAGTTAAAATTGTAAAGAAGTTAGCAGCCAAGTGTACAAGAATTTGTTTTTCTCACATTATTCTCAGGCTTTTTCATTTTTATTTGGTGAGAAAAAATAATAGATTTCCATACTTCGGCCTTTATTTTAATTTTTTTAAATGCTGCTTTGTTTCAATCCTGAGAATCAAAAATGCTTCAATAGCTTGGCTACAAAATCAATAGGCCTCAGGGGTCCAGACTCATATAAACCAAGTATTCATTTATTCTACTGATTCTGACAAATAAACAACCTTCTTTTTAAAAACTCAATCCTTTTAACTTAATACTGTGATAATAGAGCACTAAGGAAGTTGCATTCTTTTTGCCACATACTACATTGTGTTGTGTTTATTTATATAAATAGCTATGCCTCACAATCAAAGGTTACCATATCTCACACATTTTTGAATCCTCAAGGAACATCTTCCAGAAATGTATCTTTAATGTAGTAAAAGGAGCATAGGAGATGAGCCTGAGCTCAAGTTCCAAACCTTCCACGAGTCATTGGTATGACAGAGCAGGTTATATTACCTCATCTGTGAATTAAATATTATAATATCAACTATCTCACAGTGTCGTAAAAAACAAACTTTTGAGTAAAATACATTTTAAGAGTTGGAAAATGCTTCATAAATATTATCTATTATCATAAAGAAGAAAGAAAGGATAGAAGGAGAATATTTTTTCTTCAGCAAGGAAAAATTTTACACTTTTGGTTTAAATGCCATTTTTCCATAATCGTTACCACTGAATTTCCTTTTTATCAAAAAGATCATCATTGCTGTCTCTCTGTAGCTATAGATTTTGAAGTGAGCTTTTAAGTAATTTGCAAAATTAAAGATTGACATGAGAAAGAATATGGTTCTAATTCAAATCGAGGTTGATGGGATAACAGATAGTGATATCTATTTGTTTGTGGCATGGGCTTCTATAGTTATTATGGTAGTCTAGTGACTAATATGTTAAAAATAAAAGTGCATTCAGTATTAGCTCATTATGGAGATGTTGGAACAGAGGCAAACAGGACAAGAGCAGTCTGCAAAGTGAAATGTGCCATAATTCATAACATGTCAAGGAACACAGGTACAAATTTTGTACATAAATTTTCCCATCCTTCACTTTGCTTGGCAAGAAATGCAAATATTTGAGAAAATAACACTGAATGTTTACAGTTCTTCACCTGACAGATGAAAAATTGCAAAACACTTGTAGGTTAGAAGAGTGTGTATATTCAAGAAATGGTCTCCAAAAGATATCTATGTTTAATCAGTTAGATACCATAGATAAGGAACTTCAATATTTGGGATATCCTACAACTATCTCAGGTACCAGAATATTTGAGCAGGCTTTCCAAACTCTTCCCAATAATAATTAATTTTCCTTTTCTTTAAACTGCTCTAAACAGAAGCTGTTATTAGGACCCTTATCATAATATGCTTTGTGTTACAGCAATTTAGTGCTTGATTTAACCTCCATTACTGAGTTGTAAGCAGTTTGATGGCTAGGGCCCAAGTCTTACTTTTATATCCCTTCTAGACTTACCTTCAGGATCTTAGAATTAATGCATGATGATTGTCAGTAAAATTGAATTTAAAGAAAGACTATCATAGAAATAATGCAAAAATGAAACAAACCCTAGGTTAGTGAGAATTTTATCACATGCTCTCAGCATCTCAGGCACTATTATGAGGACACAGGTGCTGAGCAATGTCTATTAATGTCCATGGCATTCTAGTATTTCTACTTTGGAGTTCAAAGATTAGTGATACTAGAGGTAGAATCACATTGGAATATTTTCTCTTCTTCACAGTGGGACTTGGAATATGTTGGTACGAAGCTCCCAGATTCATTTTCTTACTTCTGTTTAACCTAGTATGAAGCACTCTGCTGATATGGACTCCATTGGTAAATAAATGAACAGCATGCAATTCAGCTGCCTATTGAAACATGACCTCAAGAATAGGGTTCATTGAAAAACACTCAGAAACTTCCATCACCTAGTCAGATGTTTTATTCAAGACATTTCCTTCAATGATTATTCTGTTGTAAAGTGACTTTATACTTGTTGATAAGCATTTTCTAGATAGTTCTAATTTGACAGTCAAAAACCATTTAAAGGACAATTATTATATTTTTTAATTGATGACAAAGTCCAGAAACATTTTTAAAATCTAAAATGGTTGGAGTTACTATGCAACATTTCATTGCCATTGCCACAGGCTATGATCATACTGTTTCAATTATTCTCTTTTTAAAAAATTCATTCATAATGCTTTGTAACATTAGAATTACTAGAAACAACGTATAAAATGGTAATGGTACTGTTACCATACATTTAAGTAGAACCCTGCAATTCACAAAGCAGCAACAACAATGCTTAGAACACTTTTCTAACAAAGCAATATGACCCCTACTGGGGAGGTCCCTTGTGGTTTGTAAAGAAGCTGCCTGGGGATCCAGGGAGCCAGAGTGGCTGTTTGAAACAGAAGATAATAGCAAAAAATCAAAGTGAGTTGTTAAAGGAAGCTTCAAGATCACTACTATCTCTCTATCACTGTAGATTTAGTCCTAGGAAGCTAAAAGCAGATCTGAAAGTTGGTGACTAGTGCAAAGGATCAGACTATGGGATAGCTATGCCGGTGAGGATTCAATGTACAGGAAACTAACCATGTATTTTTCCTTCTCTCACAACATCAATACTCCAAGAATCTGTTTGTTTTTATAATTATATCAAGCTTCACATATATAAATTGTTCCTGATTATAATTACTCATTATTTATCACCTGTAGCATTCCTGTACAGCAAATGGTATACATATCAGTAAGGTGTCAGGATTGTTCAAATGCATACTCCCAGGTCTCAAACACCAAAAATTCCCTTGTAGTAAGTTTGGGATTAGATCTAGAATCTACATTTCTTTCTTTCTTTTTTTTTTTTTTTTTGAGTTGGAGTTTCACTCTGTCGCCCAGACTGGAGTGCAGTGGCCCCTCCTGGCCACCGCAGCCTCATCCTGCTGGGGCTCCGGCGACCCTTCTGCCTCAGCCTTCCAAGTAGCTGGAACTACAGGCGCGCACTACCACACCCAGCTAATTTTTTTATTTATTGTAGAGATGAGGTCTCGCTAAGTTGCCCAGGCGGGTCTCGAACCCACGGGCTTAGGCAATCCACTCACCTCAGCCTCCCAAGGCATGGGATTACATTTCTAACATAAGAATCCCTTGGTACTTCTCATGGTGGTGGTCTTAGCATCACTCAGTGAGAATGACAGACCAATATAGTACCTAACACAGTACACAGTGTACCAGAGACACTCCATAAGTAGTACTTGCATTAAATGTTTTCTTTAAAAAAGAATATCTCGGGGCCGGGCTTGGTGACTCAGCCTGTAATCCCAGCACTTTGGGAGGCCGAGGCGAATTAATTGCCGGGCCCGGGGTTCGGGACCAGCCCGGGCAACTTGGCGAGACCTCGTGTCTACAATAAAATTAAAAAATAGCTGGGCGTGGTAGTTTGCATCTGTAGTTTCAGTTATTTGGAAGGCTGAGGCGGAAGGATCACTGGAGCCCAGAAGGTCGACGCTAGGGTGGCCGTGAGCGTGCATGCCACTGCACCCCAACCTGGGTGAAGGAGTGAGACTCCAACTCAAAAAAATTAGTAAAGAAAGAAAGAATATCTCATGATTTGGTTAGGGTTTATCCCCAACAAAAAATGGTATCTACTGTATCCTCTACGCTCAGTAAACTGGTCTGAAAGTTTTAGGTCCTTCATTATTTCATGCAAAATTTTTTGTTGAGTATCTACTGTTGGCCTGGTCTAAGCCAATTTTTTGAAAATTTAGTGCTATTAAATGTATCAAATATGTTTTTTATATTTTCTGCCTTTATGTTTATATATTCCAATGCTTTTTATTTATTTATTTATTATTATTTTTATTTTAAATATGTAGGGTACAATTCAGGGTTAGGTATACAAATGTCCATTATTCAGGTACCCTTGTTGATAAGGTGTGCTCCTGTCCTCACCTCCCCTGGCAGTTTCCTACTACTGCCAATTCCTTTCTTATAGTATTATAATAGTTATTCAAGGTCTGCTTATGAGTGAGGACATGTAGTACTCGCTTCTTTGTTTCTGTGATAGAACACTCAGTATTGTAGCCTCTAAGTCCATGCAAGTTGCTGTGAAGTTCATAATTTTGTCCTTCTTTATGGCTGTGTAATATTCCATTGTGCATACAAACTACTTTTTTGTTTCTATTCAGTCCTCTTTTGATGGGCAGCATGATTGGTTCCATGTTTCTGCTATTGTGAATAATGTTGCAATAAATATGTGTGTACAGGTAACTTTTTCATAGACTGATTCGAGTTCCTCCAAGTATATTACCAGTAGGGGAATTGCAGGGTCATATGGGAGGTCGTTTTAGATCTTTTATGAAACACCACACTGCTTTTTACAGAGACTGTACTAGTTTACACTCCCAGCAACAGTGTAGAATTGTTCCCTTTACCCCACATCATCTCCAGCACCTATTGTTTTTTGATGTATTGATGATGACCATCCGGACTGGAGTTAGGTGGTATCTCAGTGTAGTTTTAATTTTGCACTTTTTTGATGACTAGTGAGGCTGAGCATTTTTTCATGTGTCTGTTGGCTGCTCATATGTCTTCTTTTGAGAAGCGTATATTCATATATTTTGCCCACTTTGTAATAGGGCTTTTTTTTTCCTTTTCAGCACATTTAAGTTCCTTGTAGATCCTAAATGTTAGTCCTTTGTCAGATATACAGTTGGCAAATATTTTTTCCAATTCTGTCGGCTGTCTCCCCACTCTCTTGATGGTTTCTTTTGCTTTGCAGAAGCTTTTCGATGTGATGAGGTCCCACTTGTCTATCTTATCTCTTATGGCATGGGCACTTGGAGTTTTGATCAGGAATTGGTTGCCAGTTCCAATTTCTATAAGGGTGTCTCCTGTGTTTTCTAAGGTTCTTATAGTTTGAGGTTTTACGTTTAGGTCTTTAATTCATTTAGAGTTGATTTTTGTGTATGGTGATAGGTAGGGGTCTTGTTTTAATCTTCTGCATGTGATCAGCCAGTTTCCCAGCACCATTTATTGAATAAGTTCTCCTCTCCCCAGTGGTTGATGGTGGAGGCTTTCTCAAAGATGAGTTGGGTGAGAAATTGTGGTTTTGCTTCTGGAATCTCTATCCTGTTCCATTGGTCTATATGCCTATTCTTGCACAAATACCAGGCTGTTTTGATTATTGTAGCTTTATAATAAAGTTTAAAGTGTGGGAGCATGTTGCATCTCACTTTGTTTTTTGTTTTGTTTTGTTTTTTGTTTTTGTTTTGCTTTTTTGCTAAGGATTGTTTTGGTTATTTGTGATTGCTTATGTTTCCATATGAATTCCTGTATTGTCCATTTCCAGGTCTGAGAAGAATGCTGTTGGTAATTTTATGCGTACTGTATTAAATCTGTCGGTTGCCTTGGTTAGAATGGACATCTTAACAATGTTGATTCTTCCAGTCCATGAGCATGGAGTATTTTTCCATTTGTTTATGTCATCTTTGATTTCTTTAAGCAGTGTTTTATAGTTTTCATTGTAAAGGTCTTTTACTTTTTGGTTAGGAAGATGTCAAGGTATTTTATTTTTTATGTGTGGCTACTATGGATGGGATTGTGCTTTTTATTTGTGTTTCTGATTGTTTATTGTTGATGTGTAGGAATATGACTAACTTTTGCACATTTTTTTTTTTTATGCCCTGAGACTTTGCCAAACTCCTTTATCAGTGCAAGGAGGTTTTCTATACCTCTTGGGTTTTCAAGTTATAGAATCATGTCATCCGCAAAGAAGGATAACTTAGTTTCCTATTTTCCTATTTGGATAGCCCTAATTTCCTTCTCTTGTCTGATTGCTCTAGTGAGGACTTCCAATACTATGTTGAACAGAAGTGAGAGTGGGCATCCTTGTCTTGTTCCAGTTTTCAGGGGAAATGGTTCCAATTTCTGTCTGTTTAGCAGTATGTTGGCTGTGGGTTTCTCATAGATGGCTCTTACTATTATGAAGTATGTTCCATCTATGCCTAGATGTTTGAGAGTTTTTATCGAGAAGAGGTGCTGGATTTTATCAAAAGCCTTTTTTCACATCTAATGATATAATCATGTGGTTTTTGTCTTTATATCTGTTGATGTTTTTAATTACATTTATGGTCTTGTGGATGTTGAACCAGCCCTGCAACATGGGGATGAAGCCTACTTGGTCATGTTGGATGATTTTTGAGATGTGTTGTTGGATCCAGTTTGCTAGAATCTTGTTGAAAACTTTAGCATCTATATTCATCAAAGATATTGACCTGTAGTTCTCTTTCATTGTTGTATATTTACCCAGTTGGGTATCAATGTGATGTTTGTTTCATAAAATGATTTGGGGAGAGTTTCATCTTTCTCAATTGCCTGAAATACTTTCCATAGGATTGGTATCAGCACCTCCTTGTATGTTTTGTAGAATTCTGATGGAAAGCCATCTGGTCCAGGGTTTCTTTTTGTAGGTAGTTTTCTTATGGTGTAGTTGATTTCCTTGGTTGTTATTAGTCTGTTTAGGGTCTCAATTTCTTGTTTCAACTTGGGGAGGTTGTGTGATGTCAGAAAGTCTTCCATTTCATTTAGGTTTTCGGGTTTGTTTCTGTACAGGTGTACATAGTAATCTCTGACAATCTTTTGTATTTCTTTGGGGTCAGTTGTGACTTCATCTTTTGTGTTTCTGATTGTGTTTATTAGGGCTTTGTCTCTCTTTTTCTTGGTCAGTCTAGCCATCAATCTTGTTTATCCTTTCAAAGAAAACTTTTGGTTTCATTGATTTTTTGTTTTATATTTTTGTCTTCTTGGTCCCAAATTTGGGCTTTTATTTTTGGTCATCTGGATTCTTCTGCTGAAGTTAGGGTTTTGGTGGTCTTGCTTTTCCAGCTTCCTTAGGTATTTGTTAGGTTGATAACTTGTGATCTTTCCATTTTCTTCATGTGTGTTCATAGAGATATGAATTCTCCTCTTAGGACTGATTTCATGGCATCCCAGAGATTTGGGTAAGATGTTTCTTCATTTTCATTTATTTCCAGGTATCTTTTAATCTCTGTTTTGATTTCCTTTTGACTCAGAAGTTGTTTAGCATCATGGTGTTTAATGTCCATGTCTTTGTGGGTTTTGGGGGAACTTTGTTGGTGTTGATATTTATTTTTATTCCACTTTGGTCTGAGAAGGTGCATGGCAGAATTGAAAATGTAAACAAAAACAAAGAAAGAGAGAAGAAAAAATAACAAAAACTAAAAAACCAAAAACAAAACAAACAAACAAAAAAGCTCACTCTGTGGCCATTTCTGTAACTCCAGGTCCCTTTCTGCTATCACGGCCACATTAAAGGAAGGGTTGTGGTCTCCAGGCTGTCCCCTTGCTCTCACTGCAGGCTGATAGGGTTGCTCTCAACGTGGGTCAGATGCCCCACAGACTACTATGAGAGGAGGGTGAATCAGATCTGGACTCACCTGACTTGCTACTGCTGTCAAGTCTCTCACTCAGATCTGAGGTATCTGTGCCTGTTCTAGCATGGGGGAGGGGCTTCTGTCTCTCCAAGTCCATTGAGGGGATAGCCACT